CTGAGCTAAATCCCCAGCCCCCCACTTCTGTTGATTAGGCATATCATAGTACATTCATTAGTGTCTCTTAAGTTCTTAGAGTTTCAGACTAAGTAACAGTGAGTGGCTTCTATATTGCATTGCATCACCAGTAGGGAATTTTTTTTGAGATCAGATTTCATTGTGCTGTCCATGGCAATCTCAAGACAGTGACAGGTGTGCTACAAAATGAATTTTGAATCATGTAAAATGTAGTGTTCCCTAGAGAAAAAGTTAGTATCTCCTTCACTCTGCTCATTACTCACATGACCATCATTCTGTAAAGCATGTGTCTGTCTGCACTGTAAAAATAGTCTTTACAATTTTTCTTACCTCTTTGCTCCTTAATGTGTTTATCCCAATATGCATTAAGAATGAATGAAAGTTTTCATTCTAACTTACTCATTTAAATATCTTTGCAGTGTTGTTTTTCTTAACATGAACACTCTTTGAAATGGGCAGGGAAGCCCCCCGAGCTGTCCCCGCTCGTGTGTGCAAAATATGGCTGGGTCACAGTTGAGTGTGACATGCTTAAGTGCTCCAGCTGTCAAGCTTTTCTTTGTGCCAGTTTACAGCCAGCTTTTGACTTCGACAGATGTAAGTATAAAGCACAGATAACGTCTTTCTTCACACTCAAAAATGTGCTAGTTTTTCTAGAAAAAAATCACTTCTATTTGAGCAAAAAATGTCCTCTGTGTATAACAAAGTGAATTTGTGAATGCCTTTACCCGAATTATTAGCACGAGTCATTACTTTTCTTCAAGCTAGAGGGCCAGGATATAGCTCAGCAGCACAGTGCTTGCCTGGCAAGTGCAAGTTCCTGAGTTCAATTCCTGGTACCAAAAAAAAAAAACCAAGCTAGTTATAATTGACTTGACTTTATGTATCGTAGGTAAATAACAGCAGTATGTTTACTTTTTCATTTGAAAATATTTACTTTAGACAAAGAGAGACAAAGGGTTTCTAAATGGTCACACTTTGGAATGCCCTGCCTTTTAAATTACATATTTCCTTTGCTGATCTTAGGATTTCAATTTACAAATTGTTTTCTGAAAAATATTATGATATGTAGTTGCTATCATTTTCATGTATTTTAAAAATTCCCATAGTTATTTGTATTTGTGTTTGTATTCTTAAAGACTCTTGACTATTGTATTTTAAATCTATGTAGTGTTTTTTAAAGCATTGTTACCTGTGTGGATTTCAGATAAGGAACGTTGTGATGAGCTGAAGAAATCCTTGTGCACTGCCCATGAGAAGTTCTGTTTTTGGCCAGACAGCCCCTGTCCAGGTACTTATTTCCAAGAATTTCCATCTACCATCTTTCCTGGGCCATTGTATCTCTAATAGTGTCCATTTTGTTCTGTCTTTCCTTTTTTTGTGTGTGTGAGACAGGGTCTTACTATGTAGCCCAGGGTGGCTTTGAATTTATGATAATCCTGCCTCAGCCTCATGAATGCTGGGATTACAGGTGTGCACCATGGTGCCTGGCTCTAATATTGTCCATTTCTTTGTGAAAACCTAGTCTTTGAAGTTTCTTTTTCTTTTATTTGTGCTTTTCAAGAACTAACATTCATTGATGTTATTACTTAACTTTATTAAGTGCATTTGTCATGCCAGTGACTTAGCCATGTATACCTTATCCCATTTAATCATCACAAGGACCCTAGGAGGTAAATATTATCGACTCAGTTTTTTTCTTTAGGTGATGAAGAATCAAAGGTCCTAAAATAAACTAGAGAGAAGCTATAGCTATGGTTTTCTCTGATTCTAAGCTGTCTGCTGTTTTTCTCCACCATACTGAACAGTCCTTTAGAGGGTGCGCTGACTTCACTAATGGTAGCAGTTAAAGGGGTTTGTTTGCTATAGAAAAATAACAGGACTCAAATGAGAGTCATACAAAGCTACAGTTAACTACAGTAAAGCTGTACACTGTATCAGCAGCACTGAAGTAAGGATGTCTTCACAGGTGCCTCAGCAAGGGGACTGTAGTGGGCAAGTCTAAACTTCCCTACCTTCTCTGTATAAAGGCCATGGCAGGACTTGATCTTCTGGAATCAAGAACCACTGATGTATGTACAGAGCACTTTGAAATAAGAGGGCCCAGAGCCAGCCATGGTGGCACACGCCTGTAATCCCAGCACTCAGGAGGCTGAGGCAGGAGGCTTGTTGCAAGTTCCAGATTAGCTTGGACTACAAAGTGAGCTCAGGGCCATCCTGCACTGCATAGCAAGACCCTGTCTCAAAAATGACAGGGAAAAGACAAAAAAAAAAAGAAATAAGAGGGCCCAAAATGTTATATTGTTTTGTTTTTTGTCTTTTTGAGAGAGGGTTTCCCTATACAGTTCAGGCTGGCCTTAAACTCACTTTGTATCCAAGGCTAGCCTCAAACTCATGGTGATCCTCCTGCCTCAGCCTCCTGAGGGCTGGGATTACAGGTATGCACTACACCTGGCCATCAACTGGGATTTTTAAATATTTTGTTGATTACATGGGAATATTTCTGCTAAGTAAACAGCTTCATCAGTAGAGCCCTCTGGTGGAGAAATCGCACCAAGACCAGTTAATTCCTTGGTCTCCTGGTTACAAAGCAACACTATCCATCTATGTGTGTCATACCTTATCAGACATAAGTACAGTGTAGGTGTATTTTTATTTCAATAGGGCAGTTCTGGCCAATTCGAAGATCACTGATAGCTAGGAATATTCCATGAATGAACATCAAGAAGAAAAAATAGATTGTTATCTACCTTTGATGAGATCGTTAAAATGAAGGTTAATGTATAACAAGGATTTTCAGCTGTTAGCCTAGGTATTTCAGTGCATGGTGTAATATGACTCTTCCTGTGAGGATTTGAATCTATCCCTGCCCAGTGCACTCAATCCAAGTTTTTAGGGTCTGCCCAGGCTCTTTTAATGGGTCCCAGCTCTTGTTAACTCTACACTCTGCTTTTCTGATTTCATTCATTTTTGAGCTTTATTCATCTTCCAACTACCCTCTAAATATTTCCATGTAGCCAGGTATGGTAGCACATGCCTGTAATCCCAGCACTCGGGATGCTGAGGCAGGGGACTGCTGTGAATGAGACTACCCCGGGCTACATAGTGAGTTCAGTGCCAGCCTGCATAGCAAGACCCAGTCTCCAAAAAAAAATTTCCATGTAATATTATACGTACCTGGATTTCAGCATATACAAAGCTGAACTCTTCACGTTGTACCTAATATTTTGCCCATGTTGGTAAATGGCATTCACCTCACCATTCAGTTTTCCTAGCTAGAAATCTGAAAATCACTTTGGATGCCCAATTTCCTATTGCCCCCCACCTTGCCCTACCATTCTTCCTCCTCCTAAATAGAACTCAGATTTGACCTTTCAACTATACCATACCTTTGTTTGCTTCTTTAACATTCAAGGGGCTTTTGTGTAAAAAAAGGAACACCCACAAGTATTTGTACTTTAATGCCTATATTTATTATGCATGCGTAATAAATGTCGTTTTGAAGGTGATATTTACCAATCCTTACAAATTCCCCTAAAATATTTTAAGTAATAGTTATTATTTAATTAGGGCTGATAGCATATGCCAGATACTTTAAATTATGCACAAATATATATTATGAAATATGCTTAAGCTTATGTTAAGGCATTTTTTTTTTTTATGATGACTTTAATTTCTTCTCTGTTTCCTTTTTTACCTTTATGGGATTTTACAGTTATTTTCTTGGTATTATAACAATCAATCCAAACCCTAAATTAGAAATGACCAGAAGTCTTGGGACCTGGTTTTGTTTTTTGTTTTTTGTTTCTTTTTTTGAGACAGGGTCTCACTATGCAATTCAGGCTGGCCTTGAGCTCACTTTGTAGCCCATGATGGCCTCAAACTCGCAATGATCCTCCTGCCTCAGCCTCCCGAGTGCTGGGATTACAGGCATGTGCCACCACGCCTGGCTGGGAGCTGGTTTATTCTCCCAAGTTTTGTCAAATCTGGGCTAGTGGTCATCAGAACATGTTACCTTTGTATTCCCCTTGATATTTTAATTTGGGGGGGGTGTACTAGACATCAATCACAGAGCTTCATGAATACTAGGCAAGTGCTCAGCCCTGCTTTTAGTTTTTTCCAACATTTTTGTGGTGCTAAGAATTGAACCCAGGGCCTCATGTGTGCTAGGCAAGTACACTATATCCTCAGCCCTATAACCTGACATTTTTGGTAAAATGATATCTCTTTTTACCTTGATGGCATGGGTTTTTTTATTTTTTGATTTATTTTGTTTTTTGAGATAGGGTCTTGCTATGTAGTTCAGGCTGGCCTTGAGCTTACTGTATAGCCCAAGCTAGCCTCAAACTCAGAGTGATCTTCCAACCTCTGCCTCCTGATGCCTGCGATTACAGGCGTGTATCACAATGCCTGGCTGATGGCATGTATTTTGACATACTGGGGAGCCGCAAATTACAACTGATGTAACATACAAACAATTTGAGTTTTGACTGGAATTTTAGTTTTAACTTATGACCAAAGTCTTGAGTTATAACCTTAATGCTGGGCTACTCATGCTTCCAGATGGTCTCAGACATAGATTTAACCATTAAAGAGTTCTAGAAGGAACATTACATACATCCTTTCCTGTATGGGGTTAATTGAAAACTCCTGGACCAGTGTCTGTTTAAGTACACTGAGATCTGCCTTTGTATAGGAGAGAGACTTTGAAGGATATGTAAAGGAGCCTGAGCCTTCAGGTTGACAGCTTGAGTTATAAGCAGCCCTTGGGAACAAATTGAGTTTGTAAGTCAAGGGTCCACTGTATATGGTTATAGTTGTCCCTTGGTGCCTATAAGGGATTGGTTCTAAGATCTCTTGGATACCAAAGTGTGTAAATTCTTGAGTCCCTTATGTAAAATTGCATGGCATTTTCACAGAACCTGTATATATCCTGCCATATACTTCAACTCATTTCTAATTACTTATATTACCTAACACAAAATAAATGCTATGTCAGTAGGGTGAGGAGTCTTGTTATCATTTTGTTTTGTTTTTTGAGGCAAGATCTCACAGTGTAGCCCAAGCTGGCCTTGAACTCATGGTGATCTTCATGCCTCAGTCTCCCAAGTGCTGGGATAACAGGTGAGAGCCACTGTGGTAGATCTATTTTTAATTTTTTAGAAAATTTCTCAAACTTTGAAAGTTTTCAAATGCAGGGGTAAAAAAAAATCTCTGTATCTTGCACCCAAGGCCATTTAATACATACCAACATTTTACCATCTTTGGTTCAAACCATGCCACCTTGCTTGCTTTATGCTAATCAAGAAGAGCTATATTGCCAAGCACATCTGTAATCACAGCACTTGGGAGGTTGAGGCAGGATTCTTATCTCAAGTTGGACGCCAGCCTGGGCTCCATAGTATGTTCAAGGCGAATCTGAATGACATAGTGAAACCCTGTCTTAAAAAAACCAAAACAAAACAAAAAAAAGTTCTATCAACCATGGTGCACACACCTAAAATCCCAGCACTCTGGGAGGCTGAGGTGGGAAGATTGAAGTTCAAGCCCAGCCTAGGCAACTTAGTGATTTAGCAACACCCTGTCTCAGAAAAAATGGGCTGGTGATGTATCTCAGTGTGAAGGCCTTGGGTTCAATCTCCAGTACCCCAGTAACATTTTTTTAAAAAGATGATGAAGAATTTTAAGAGTCATATAATTTATCCAATCTCATTCCCTGCCACAATATCTTGAAGTAACATATACATATGTCTATAAGAAATACATATAGCTCAGCTGGGCATGGTGGCACACGCCTGTAATCCCACCCCTTGGGTGGCTGAGGCAGGAGGATCACCATGAGTTCAAGGCCAGCCTGGGCTACATAGTAAGTTTCAGGTCAGCTTGGACTACATGGCGAGAGCCTGTCTCAAAAAAAAAAAAAAAACCATATAGCACTATTTACTTGTTCCAAAATTCTATGTGAGTGTTGACCAGATGTGTATCCTTCTACACCTTTTTGTTGGGGATGTGGCTGCTCAACTTTTAAAAATGTATCCATGTTGTCTTGTCACATGTAGTAGTGTGTTTGAAGCTTTGTAATTAGTAGATTGATTTAAAATTGTAATCTCCCAGGTGATAGTTTTCCCAGTTAGCCTCTCCTTAGTAAAGCTAGTGTTTTTTTGTTTGGTGGTGGTGGTGGCTGTGTTGATACTGGGGATTGAACCCAGTATCATGAACTCGCACATGACCATGCTGTCTCCCGCTGAGTGATAGCACTTGCCCAGGAAGTTGGGTTATTCTCATTGTAAAACCCACTGTCAAACCCTTCTTATCCATGATGACTGTGTGTAACTATAACCCTAGCAGGATTTTTGCCTGTGTCAGCACAGAAGCTGAACAAAGCTTCCTGTTCTTGGTACCTCCTGCTCCTGGTACAGGTTCCTACCTGATTCTAGCTCTGCTTAGCACATATACAGTTCTTTTTTTTTTTTTTTTTTTTTTTTGGTACCAGGAATCGAACTCAGGACCTTGCACTTGCCAGGCAGGTGCTTGTGCTGCTGAGCTATATCCCTGGCTACAGTTCCTTTCTTCTTCTTCTCCTTCTTTTTTTTTTTTTTTTTTAGAAAGGGTCTCATTATGCATTTCAGGCTGGCCTTGAGCTCACTTTGTAGCCCAGGCTGGTCTCAAACTCGCAATGATCCTCCAGCCTCAGCCTCCCGAGTGCTAGGATTACAGGTGTGAGCCACCATGCCCCACTTAGCTAGTTTTTTTTTTTAGTTCTTTTCCTTCCTCTTTCCCCCTCTCACTTATCCTTCTGTGGTTCATTCTTTTATCTTTTTCCTTCTTAGACATGATAAACTCAATCCATGTATCTCAGTGTTTACTGATTCTTTCTTCTGCCAACTTAAATCTGCTGTTGAGCCCTTCTACTGAATATTGCATCCCAGTTTTTGTACTTTCCAGTTCCATAGTTTTTGTTTGGTTCTTTTTTATTGTTGTTGTTTGTTTTTGTTTTTCTTCTGGTACCAGGAATCCAACTCATGACCTTGCCCTTCCCAGGCAGGCACTTTGTCGATGAGCTAAATCCCCAGCCCCTGGTTCTTTTAATAATTTTTTACTCTGTATTGATATTCTCTATTTGGTGGGACATCTTCAGACTTTCCTTTTCATGTTTTGATTTGCTTTTGTGCTGGGGATTCAATCAGGGGCCTTCATACTGAGCTATATCCTCAAACCCTTTTTTTGTTTATTTTGAGACAGGGTCTCACTAAGTTGCCCAGGCTGGGCTTGTATCAAATGTGTAATAGATGAATCTGGTAATGCCCAAGATAGTAACTGAGCTATATCCCTAGCCCTACTTACAACCAATCCGGTTTCTTCTATGCTCCTAACACCTTCCAGCCCCTCTGCAGGCTGCTTTTGAACTCTGGGCTCAAGTGATCTCTTCCTACAGCCTGCTGACTAGCTCTGACTACAGGCACATACCACACTGTACCTGGCTCCAATAATCTCTTTTTTGTTTATTTGGTCTTTTTTGAGGTAACTTTTCCATATGTGGTCCAAGCTGGCTTTGAACTTGTTCTGCAGCCAAGGTTGGCAGTTGTCCTCCTGACCCAGATTCCCAAGGGCTGGGAATATAGGCATGTGCCACCACATTTGACTCTAGTAATTTCGTTTTTCTTTGTCTTTTTTTTTTTTTTTTTTTGTACTGGGAATCAAACTCAGGATCTTGTGTTTGCCAAGCAGGAATTTGCGCTGATGAGCTATATCCCCAGCCCTCTATAATTTCTTGAGATAATCAAATTTGTCATCCATTTTACATTTTTCTAATTGTTGTGTTCTTTTTTATTATTATTATTCTTTTTTTTTTTAATTTTAAAAATAGAGCCTGGGGATTTAGCTCAGCGGCACAGCGCCTGCCTGGCAAGCGCAAGGTTGTGAG